CAAAATTGACGAAAATTTGCGAAAACTGAACGGAAAAGAACGAACGTGGGAAGTATGTAGCGGGGATGTTAAATGGATGTTCATCGGAAGTCTAGGGGATGAAAGCGGATGGAAGTGGATGACAGCTCCGGCAAACTCCAGACATCCTTCAATATACAAGATACATCCCAGATACAAACGCTTTGTCCGTTTTGAAAACTTTATAAACGACATGCATACGCTTACATCCTTTCTATTTCCGTGCTACTAACGATGTATAGACGTTCCATGTACCTTATCTTTCCCCCCTCTTTCCGTTTTCAGCTGGAGCGGATGCCAGTAGCGAGGATGCCCAGAGGATGCAGAGAGGATGATAACGGACATGGAACGTTTGGTGCTCGCGCATTTACATCGTACACGGCAGAAAGTTCATCCGTTATAAAAGTTTTGTGCAGCTCAAAACTTTTTGCACGGATGAAATCAAAGTGAACGGATGCTCGATGGATAGAGCGTATGAAACACGGATGCAATGAGTACACAACGGATGCATGGCGTTTTCAAACGGAGGCCTTTTTTTTCCACGTTTTACATCCTCTTTGCATCCGTAAGTGCAGTGGGACCGGGCCTTAATAACTCTATGAATTGAGGTCAGTGTTCAAACTTGGTGTGGTTGTTTATTAGGCAATATCTTGACTGAGTTCGATGACGAGCATTTTCTACTTAAGCTAAGCAGAGATATGAAATTTCATAATGATCCACCTCAAAACGCTATGTTTTTGTTTTTTTTATTAATTAACGGGAAGAACTTCCGCCTAAACAAATGGAAAGATTGCAAAATCATATTCTAAAAAACAGGAAGAAGATTCGGCTCTCCTGTGTCTTATCTGAGATATTACTTTTGCGTAAGCAGACGTTAAAGAACCCAGGTAGTAGTTAAAAAAAAATCATTGGTCACGAGACAACATAACCCTGTTTCTAATAATATTGTGGTAGAATGTTTAAACTTGTTGTTGATGTTCATTAGTTCGGTAATGGGCACTTTATACTTGGACTAAGAAGCCGTGTCCGTCCGTCCGTCTATCACACCTTTTGGGATACAATAATTCTACTTTTTACTTCGATAGAATGTTCACTAATGCCTTGACTAAATTCGATAATGACCACGTTCTAATGCCTTGACGAAATTCGATAATGACCACGTTCTGTTTAGGTTAACGATTAGGTTGATCTATACGCTTTATTTTAGGATGCAGACACGGATCATCAGCCTCACTTTTGGATTGCTATTGAAATATGAAGATTTTGAAATGCTCTCTGCTAGCTTAAGGTATTATTTTTTGGCAATAAATATATTATCCTAGTAGTATGAATAGGTTTTTCAATCGATGGTTATGTATGTTAGAATCTCGACTATGGTAGAAATACAACTTAGACACCTGATTATATGATGTTTTTTTATGTATAAATATACAAATAACATGCTACAATATGTGTGAAGAGGGAGTATGAAGTATAATCTACTTGACAAAATATTATGTTTTAGTCATGAATTCCTGGAATGATGACACTCCATATTCATTTCATGATCTCGCTCCTGATTCTGTCACTATCGTGGAGACATTTTTTAAATAAAAGATATGCATACCTGTTCATTGCCAGTGTCTACACGCGAGAATAGTATTTAGATATTCCAAATCTTTACAGATACATTATGGGCGATTAGATAAAGAGCTGGAAGTTCTCACTATAATAGTTAAAAACTAGATAATGTAAAGGGAATTTGCTAAAAATTTCAGTCAAATTGATTTACTCTAAACCGAAAATTTAGCGACGGAATTTTCGGCCTAGCCTCGATCATCATTACTAAAGTCGGTACGATAAAAATCATAGTCTCGTTTATCCACCTTATGTTTAAATCATGAATGAAATTTGAGCAGCAAATTGGATCCTAATCCAGTAAATATTGCGGACTAGCGATTACATTGAGAGTTAATTATGGTCTGGATAATTTAATTAATGTCTAATTAATAATTTAGATAACATTTCAGGCCTAAAGAAAGACCTGCAATAGACAGATTTAGCTCTTGCGTAATGTATGTTTAATGCACACCCGGAATTCCACTAATTAAAGACGCCTAAAGACAGGTCTGATAATATGATACATGTTGTTTTGTAATTTAAAAAACCCATTCGAGTACATAAAGACATTAATATGTAGTTTAGAATGGGGTGACTCTTACAAAAAAAAAGATAACTGGGTTATTATTATAATACATGTATTTGTCAAAGGGAGAAAAAGATGGGCGTTTGAAACAAATATAAACATTAAATGACCATAACTTAAGATAATATATATATATATATATATACATCTATTGTGAAACATGTCAGTAGAGATTAGAAATTGTCGATCTCCATTCTGTTGACTTCCTCTTTACAAATATTCACATGACTTTGAATTTATTTGAAGAAACGGGTAGACTTTTCATAAAGTATTTATGGCATTTATTCTAGGTCCTTTATGATTCAATGTAAAATAAATGTTTAGTTGATTGAAAACTGTTTAAAGAGATTCGAATTTAATGGTGTCTATAACATGCTTTTAAACGGCAGGCAGGTCGCTAACTTCCCCTATAACTTGTCGTATCTTTACTCCCCTATTTATTTTTCTAAAATCGGATCAGTAGCTTTTATAAATAAAGAACTAAACGGGGTTGTTATTTTTAATTACAGCAATCTATTGAATGGCACGGGGTATGCTGTAGGTCCTCGCTAGCTTTTCTCTGATATGAAACAGGTTCCCTCTAGAATGATAGGTTTGCTTTAAACGGCGAGACAAACCACAACACGGCTCACCATTTCTACGTCTCATAGTCTGCACCAGGGCGAATTATTTACGTTATCGGTGACCTGCGCCAACAACCTGCATCTCTTCTGAATGAAGAATGTTTTTATGCCGTATCAAAGATAGAAAGGGAAGGGGAGGGGTAGCAAAGGAGAACGGAGACGGCATGTATGAAGGCAGATAGCAACTGTAAGATTTGGGTGGTGTGGTGTATTCCTTTTGTGAATTCCATCCATTGTTTAACATCCACTTACTGCTAGTTTTAAATCAATTGTTAATTTGTTTTCATGAAAACGTTACAGAGTGTATAACTATGGGTGGCATTGTATAATGACTCCATACATGAGGCATCTCTGTAAAGGGGCGGGACTATTACTGAATTCAGTCATAATACTGCACTCGGAGAATAAAGGTAAATACGTATGTCTGTACTATGTAAGGATTACATATTTTAGCAACCTGACCAGAGTATATGGATAAAGTTTGTTTATATTTTGGACATTAGTTGATTTTAGCAGATCAGTCCAAAACGTAGTCGTGTTGTTGGGTTATTTTAAGTCGCGACTATGATATATTTTAACTGGAACATCTTGCGGGTCTGATGTAGACGAGATATCCAAATTCCAGAGTGCGTAGGCGATCGTCGGGCAGTCTGAATCAATTTCCTCTGATAGCATACAAAATCGTCCCACCCACTTCCCGGTGAGTCCTCTCCTCCATACGTATCTATAGGTAGTTAGGATGTAACTTAATCAACCGTATTTATTAAATTTAAATTTCAGTCTACTATGGAAACTAATACATTGTTACATTATTATTAGGTCAGCTTACCAAATAAAAATGTATTCAGAATCGGCTTGACAACATTCGGTCATATCGAGATAAAACTAAATCAGTCACCTGAAAAAATTACAATAATGCAAACTGGTACTAGGTGCTCTGGAAACTTTACACACTTGCCTTGAGATTGTCTGGTTAAAATTGTCAGCCAGGCTAACAACCACGGTCATCAGTTACTGACTGAATGAACATATTCTTCTCAAGAAACAATATGTTGTAGAAATAGAGCGGCATAGAGCTCAAAATAGAATGATTTAAAGTTATTATTGTTGTAGAGGACTTTAATAATTCTAATTGTATAATTATCGTGCTTGTAGTATATGTATATGATTTTATAGACAGGATTCAAAACTCACATTTCTCTAACAAATATTTCCGGTAATATGTAACCTAATGAATTATAATGTTAATCTTTTTTTAAAATTGTGTGTCGAGCATTTAGAAACTCTCACAATAAAAATAGGACCCTGTAATTGTCCGCGAAATTTATCTTTACTACCTGACTGTTTTAGGGTCGTAGATGAAACCACGGGTTAGGGTCGAAACTTTAGGAGAGTGGAGTGCTTCCAGTTTCAGCGTTATTTGCACCGTTCTTGAATGTGTCAGTTAAAGATTTATTTGACAGAATTCTATAAAGGAATAAGCGCTGATAATTACTTCCCGGGTTAATGTACGAAAGAATTGTGTAAATATTTTTAGCTGGTATAGGAATAGGCTTCCTCATCTGGAGTCTTGCATATGGTGGGAGGGGGCTGTTTCGTGGGTGTGTGAGGGGGGGGGGGTATTCCGGAACATTCTGGTAGTGAGTCAAATGTCCTACCCACAAAACAGCTGATATCGTGTTCAATAGATTAACTCATCTTGTGTTTCAGTGTCCTGTGTGGGTGGAAGGGGACATTCTGCTTGTGAGCCCAGTATCCTACCCACAAAAAACCCACCCGGTCATATTATTAAAACTCCAAATACTATTCTGTACATTGACACCTTGCTATTTTTGAGACCCCCGCTATGCATACACAAACAGATTATTGGCAACACAAACTTTGTAAATTTGTAGACTCTTGCAAGTCACAAACTTTCCACATACTTTCTGAACCAAATTAATGGCACCAATTCCCAAGCCGTATCAATATTTATTCCTACATTTAATTGTTTAATTCTGTGATTTACATTAAATAAACAGACTAGAATCAACAATTAACTCTGCTCACTTAGCGAATCATTTCAACTATCTGACATGGTTATTTGCCCGTAAGCTTTAAAGGCGCAGTAATACCACATAGTTTCTCACCAACGTCAAATCAGGACTATTTTCACAGAAAACACCAGCACCATATTATACATAACAAAATATTTATTTAATTCATCATTAGGTACAAATATGCACAGAGTTAGTTTCAAATCATAAATTACATCATTTAGCATATAAAAAAATAATAACATCGGTATTGTACATTCTATAATCTTATCCAATTTTTGCCATAAACAATTATAGCAACAATTCTTACGATAGTAGAATTATCTATAATTCAGCCCAATTATTTTATGTTCAAGAAAGTTTGAAATCCTGCTATTCGAAATTTTGAAATCCTGCTATTCGAAATTTTGTTTATATTTGGTATGTGTGTGGGGTGGAGGGGGGAATTCTTACTCGCATATGCATTGCTGTATAATTTGTGATAGTTTATCGATGGAGGCACTACAAATTAAATTTCTAAGATGAGGGGCGGACTAGGTCTCTAGGAGGGCCCAGAGGGGTCAGGCAGGGATCCATCGGCCCTGATTGGACATACATTTATTTCAAAATAAATAAAATCATATTTGCATCTACTGAAACATATAATGGCCTAAATCCGAGGAGAAGTGAGGTGCTAGTTTCGTCTTCTCGTCATATTCTTCAACGCAATGGAGGTCCAAGGAAACCAGTTTGTCCTGGGGCCCAGAGCTACCCAGTCCGCCCCTGTCTAAGAATAAATAACTTTTAGATTTCGGTTTTGCAGATAGGAATTTTACAACACTTCTAAAATAATTAAATAATACGCTAGACCTCAAATATTGAAAAACTAAAATAGTTTGTGGATTCGTTGTTGCATTTCATTCGATTTGCTTTAATGCTGAATGGTCATAATTTCGTTGGAAATAAATCATCTATCTACATCGGCATAGTTTCTGGATTTCGTTGTTGCACTCTGGATTAATTCAAATTAACCTTGACTGTTCGTACGTTAAAGTACAATAGAATAAGTCATACACTCTGTGTCCTATCACAAGATTATACATAACCCACGCGTTTGTCACCAGATTGTATTAGCGTTACTCATCGAACTCAGTATGTAATAAGTAGGCCCTAAACTATAAGTATGTTAAACAGTGGTTTATGTAAGTAGTTTTATATTGTTACTATAAATAAAGATCAAAGGCCTGAATGAGCCTATATCAGTTGGCCGATGTCGTCCGATTGATGGTCACTGCCGTTATAGTGATCACCCTTGCTTCATAGTTCTTCAAATAGTATTTTCAGTAAGTAACCAAAGCTCGCTTTTAAAAAGAAAAATTTTCTTCACAGTAATTTGGGCTTTTCCTTTTAATTACTTTATACTGCTTTTGAATGTTCTCTGACACAGTTCATAATAACTAGTACGAGCGTACAATATGGACCAGGAGCCACGTATGGTGTCATATAAGTCATCTCTAGTATTGAGACGTCATAGACTTTGTTTTTTCGACAAGCGTAGCGCCCAAGGCGAAGAAGAAGAAGATGAGCTGCGCTTGTGGCCCAGTTCATTATCCAAAAAGTAACAAATATTGTCTTTTTTTTACCAGGCACGGATACCCTGATGAATCTGCTGTTGAACGTAACCATTTTGTTGCATTTGATTTACACTGGGAGGCATGTGGTTATTTACTGTGTTATATGATGCAGAAGAATACGCGAATGGATTCACGTTATACGGTGCTGAATATGACTGTGGTATATTTTGTCCATGCATACACGGTTTTCCATCTCTCACGAGCACCGGAACAGCAACGCGTCTTGGTGGTTGCAAGGCAGATAACTCTAAGGATTTATCCTGACGTTGACGTTTACACTTGTAACGCCTATTTTGAAACCATATTTTAACCTGTGTTGGCGTCAATTTTAACATGTTAGCTAACTGTTCTCTTTCAGGCGCGGAAAGATACCTTTGTTGTTTGAATCTTCTTTCTAATTCGTAAACTTGCGCTTGAGAAAAAAGTACCCTTGGTTTCCGTTTTTGCCTTTGTTTAAGAAGCTGACATTCTCCTGATTCTGACGCTGAGATTGGTGAAATTTTTCCTTTTTCTCCTGCAAGTGACGTCAGAGAAGACGTTATGGCATTTCCCAATGACTGTGATGCACATACTTGTTTACCTGAAAAATAGCAAAAGAAAAATTAATGAGTACAGCGTTAAACTGTGCAAATATAACCGTAAAATATAACTGGAATCGAGATTGGTATTTTAAAAGACAATCAATTATTCGGGTCTAAACAACAACTCAACTGTACAATAGTATACTATCATATAGTTTTAGTATAGATGTTGGTGGCCAACAGGGTTCGATATTATAGCCATTATTGTTCCAATAAATTGCAGATGAACTTGTGAGCGATAGATATATTGTACTTAGATTTCAGCAGCGGATGTTCCTGCATAACTTTTGGGGATGCAGCCAACTTTTTGAAATATATACACTTAAAACTGTGTTGTTAGGGTGTTTTTAGAAACATAGCATGCACCAACTTATTCACGTTACTAATTGTAGCAGACATTGTTAGTAACGTGAACTTCCAAAATCAGATGTGTATTGGGTATACACTTGATACAAATCACTGCTTATAGATAAACGGTGCGAATTGGGTTTAGGAAACCGAGGTCGCTTTTTAGCAGTCATCCATGGGGAGAGAATAGACAATAAACCTTATTATTATATGGAGCAAATTATTTAGGAGTCTAATAATGCCGTGCTTATATTACTAATGTCAATAATCTGTTGACATATATCCGATCCGGATGTGGAACTTTGAACGGCAATCAGGTTTGACATCACAAATACATAAAACATTTTAATAACGTGTCTTATTTATAGTCCTGCTCTTAATATGATTACAGTATATGAGTAGTTAAATCTCCTTTTGATATGTGTTAATTATGATCTTTACAAAGACAAAATCTGGAATTTTACGTTTACTAATTCAACGAAAATATGGGTTCATGCTTTAGGCATATTAAGGCTAGAGTTACTTCAGTCGAGTAAAAGTAAACTTTTTGTTGTCCTGGACCCAGGTCGCTTAGGGACTATCTGTCTAATACCTTTAAAATCAAGATGATTCGGCCACCCACACCCACCATGAATATTAAGTGATCTATGATTGATTGTACTTTCCACATAGAATTATACAAATAACTAAGTGTCATATGACAAAAATGCCGAGAGAGAGGGAGAGAGAGAGAGAGAGAGAGAGATTTAATGTGCTTATTTCAACAATTAGGAGAAAACCGACGAGGCTAGGCATGTAGCCCTACCCCTACCCCTAATCACACACACGCATAAGATCGAACTCTTGGTATTTGCATCGATGAACTACTCAACAAATGTCACACCACACTTTGTTTAATTGAGCTAAAAGACTAAGAAAAAAGTTTCAAACTTGTTCATTTTATGATTCTTCTCTAATACAAACAGCATTGAAATATCCTAATTGACCCTGAAAGGCCACTTATAATATGTTAAAGTTATGATGTATGAATATTAATAGAACAATGATTGATTGAGTTGTAATAGTTGATAAAGTGGGCGGTGATGTTTACTGAGTTTTAACCTGATAATGCACTCTAATCATTTATCATCCTAATCATTCATTCAAATAAATCATATCAGGTTTCATATAATAGAAAATATATATTTTTTTTCAAATCAGCGTAATTTGGTCAGTTAAAAAAATCCGAATTTTCAAATTCAAATTATTTTTTGACTATAAAGAAAATGACACCTAATGGAAATTTATGTTTTATATGGATTACCTAATGAATAATCTGTAAAATTCATTCAAAATCTTCAGAAACGGTTATTTTAATTAATAAACTTTTTGGGGAGTTGGAATTTTTCACAGATTTCTCGGTTTTGCCGAAAATGAAATAAAATGGGGTTTAACGTCCTACTCCGACTGTGCAATGAGAGAAATTGTGCCCGTTCAGCGGCACTATGGCCTACTCTTATATCGAATTCCATCTGCCAGGGGAATTTACAAAAGTTGAATCATGTACAGTTATATAAACTAGATTTCATCATCGTTAGACAATCAGTTTTCATTGTAAATGTGCCATGTCGATGTAAAAGCCTCAGGTTTGTGTACTCATTATACTGAATTCTTCTTAAGTTATATAATCATTTATATAAACATGTTAATATAACAAGTACATAGAATAGAGTGCTTCACAGACAGGATTAAGAACGCTGCAAATTAACCAACATCTTACTTCGGCAGGTTCCTAATTAAAATTCGTCTTATTGTGGTCAGCGGCAATCATGTGTATATCTACCGTGTCATCTCAGCCACTACCGAATATTTTCGCATTGTTTGGGTTTAATAAGTAATGATTGTAGAATATTAATGAAACATCAGTATTTCATTTTAAAAGGTCGTCTTTTCAAATTTGATCAGCGGTGATATACCGGCATCTGTCTTATAAACCTTGATGAATACTACTGTCTCCGCCATTTACCATGATCAAATCTGACGATCTTTATTTTTCTAAAACGAATATTAACTTTCCAACCAAATTGTCTTTCAAAACCGGACAATTTGCATCTATTTTGACAGTTAAAACATTTGTTATATCAGCACTGATTTGGAAGATAGTCAACGTCGACTTGCAAGGGTTTCAATTAAAATTGCATTCTAAATATACCGTTAATTGATTAAAATTTTAATAACATCTAACCAACTGTGTTTTATTAATAATTTCTCAGAAGTAGCAGTCTGTTGAATATGAATGATCGGTTTTCAAACTATGCCAAGTCAATTTTTTTAAAAGGATATTATATGTTCTAGGTAGTCTTAAGTATATACTGCATCATGCACGACACTCGTCACTGCCAACCTATACATACATGGAAACAACTATGTATTTATCAAAGTAAGAAATTAACATCATACTATTAAATACTCATCTAGTCTATCGAGAGTTATTAATCTTTTACTTTTATCCCCAATCTCTTTATAGTCCTTTCTACGACATAAAACATCGTTTATACCTTAATTATAACATCAACTAGATGGCTATTTAAGATGATATTTGGCTCAAGGAACAAGACCGCATTATAAGTTTTCAAGAAAAATGTGCGTGCCAGCTGACGTTTTTAATCATATGTACATGTGGCGCTATAAACGAAGTTGACTCGCGTAAATTTAAAACACATTTTCATAACAAGTAAACATTAAATCTGACGAGATTTTTAGGAGAATGTGATTCGCGCTGTAGCAATTTTTAGCGAGGTGAACCCCCATTTCTTTTTGCGCTTTAATTAAATTTCCGGCATTTGAAAAGATGTAATAGATCAAATAAAATGGTTCTGATATAGCTAACGGTAATCAACGCTCGGTGTTGGACACGAAGCTCATATATAATATCTTTATTACCGTTCAAGCTTAATCAGTCTAACAAAATTTACATCATGGTAACATTGGCTAGCCCCTATCCAATATACCACAAATTATCATTAGGATCGTCAAAATATTACCCAACTGCAGCGATAATCATAATTCACATGCAAAACCCCACAGGAAAATAATTACGGTTTTCTAGACATAATTATTTTGTAATTTGAAACTTATTTCAATATTTCTGAAATACTAAATGAAATAATTTTGTGAGCGTGTATGTGGAAATGACTATTAAACTCAATAAAATCGTGATTAAATTTACATTACGTCTTTAATTTAATTTCCGAGAACTAGAAAAAAAGTATTGCAAAAGAAATTTAACAAGTTCTAAATATATTTTGGTTTAAATCGCCAAACTAACTTTTTTCCCTCTTTTATTCCCGAGCCGCATACATTTTGTAGTTTTTCAATTCTAACTTAATGATCAATTTACTTGTATTTAATTATAATCGACAAGTAGTTTATTATTTCTTATAAGAATCTAAAAAATTGTTTTTGCATAAAATATGATGTCAGTGATTTGCCATGACACCAGAAGCAATTTTAATTCATTCTCAGCTCTCGAAATTCAATCATGGACGCCACGGAGCCGTACAATTGTTGTTGTCTTCGTTTCTACAAAATGCGATGCTGCGGAATAAAAGGAAACGTGACTATGAAAAAATCTGTCTTTTGGGCTGTAGCAAACTGGTACAGCGATAATTGGTACAGATGCGATCAGTTAGATACATATTTATCGGAAAGAAACACAAGGGCCACTTTCCGTTACTCTGACTTGATTCACAAATGAAATATGGCCGCTTCTGATGTTGGTAAAATGGTCGCCTCGACGCGTGTCGCCTCTCTCCAGCAGTGATGGCAATGAGTTTAACAGTTTTATATACAAACTTTGCTTAATGATCAAGAGAGGTGAAGTCTCTAAAAATGTAAAAACGATTCCATACCGATCTGTTTTTTTACTGTAGATTTTGTTGATATCTAGAGCAATGTTAACAGACTTTGGTAATGCAAAAATTACTTTTCCTTTTACATAAATGCTATCTTGAACATTTAACAAAGATGTCACTTGACTTCAAGTATATTTTATTTTATTTACAAGAATGATACATATGTATATAATAAAGTATATCCATTATCTTCTCGACGTTATTATTCATAGAATATTTCTATTTCGAACCTGAAATCAATCAAACGAAATGGGTTATCCATAAAGGGTAAGAAATTTCTAAAAATAATTGACTTTTAACACAATTTGAACATTAACAACAGTGACCAAATTCAATTAATCTTCAAGACTATAATATTCCAACCTGTACATGGACGGAATGACAACAATTATGTGTATGAAGAGGTCACAAATCTGTAAGTTCTACAAAACCGCGTTTAATACTCATGCACAGGACGCTCGCTAAAATGGGGACTGTAAAACAAATGACGTATGAACTTGTATTCCACATAATTGTGTCATGTGTTATTCTCATCCAGTTACTAAATGGCGCTTAAACAATTTATGAAAACGGTGTTTATTAATAGTAAGTGCAGGAGGACCACACCACACGCAAACCAGAACCGACAAGATAAACCTACGGACAAAACAAACTACATAGACGTTGCAAGAAATGAACAACAAATTATATCAAATCAAGTGAATGTACAGTCCCCTCAAAATAAAAATAAAAATATTTACAAGAAAGACGGAACAGAAATAATGCGACCGATCTGAGGGGTTACAGAGCTGACGTTCCACAAAGCAGTGTCGAATGCTGAAAAATAACAATCGTACACAGCAGAACTGGACGCTAAAAAGGCACACAATGCTTATTACTGTACTCATACTACTAATGAGGATAGAAGCGACTATAATACAGAAACTGTTTAACCCCTAAACAAGGTATCTCTCATCTTTCATTGCTCTCCTGAATACCGTCTTTCAAGTTGTTGTGATTATCAAGACGATACCAAAGACTTGTCTGTCTAATATCAAACTAGATATAAGGCTCGTTTGAAACTGATCCCAAATGTATACAATTCTAAACAAAATCTTCCCTAATCTCGAAAAAGTCTTGTACTTGTATCAAGTCATCCATACTTTCTCTTTTGGCTTTTTTCTCTCTCTCCATACCTCGTATGTTTTGTTCTTATCTTTATAATTTCTCACTTATCGCCCAGTATTCTTGTCTAAATTCTGGATCTTGTTTTTGTAATTGATTCGCCTTTTGAGTCATCTATTCAATAGAACATTGCCACGGAGGGCTCGAGAGTTTAAAAAGTCTATCTCGTATTGTGAACTTCCGAGTTTAAAGAAAATAAATCTAAAGCAGGAATATTTATTTAACTTTATAAATGCTTTTGAAAATATTTATGAAATGCAGTATATTAATGATATGGTGTTGAATAATTTTGTTACACTTCGTTTAAATCGTTGTATATTCAAGTGCACTTTATTTCCTACGGGTGGAACAAGTCATTATTCAGGTGCCGTGTGTGCACATTAAATTCACATAATATAAATGTATTCCATTAAATACATATGTATTTCATTAATTGCAAAGATTTGAATACGTCGACCCAGCGAATAAAACGGAGTGGGGTTTAACAATATTTCGGTCATTTTTAAACTAAAGATAGTAATTTTCATTTCCATGCTTTGGGTAGGAAAGTGACCTTAAATGTACCAAATTTCGCGGATTATTTTATGTACACGCGGCCGTACCTCGGTATTTTGTCAGCATCCATGTCAGCTTCACAGTAAAAATCAGGATTAAAAATTCGTCTGTGTCCAAGACGAGTTTCAAATCCGGGTTACTGTAATTGAGAGGCCAATGTTCTATCGCTCGACAACTACGACCCCCCCCCACCCCTAGTCCAGTCAACACAAACTAATTCATTTCAGGACTATACAAGCGTCCTAAACCACGACGACACTTCCATCGATGACAAGCCGTATGATATACAGCTTACTCATCAGACCAGTCGGCTACCCAGCCCCCATGCATAAATAATGTAGTATTTACGGGTGTGTTGTGTGTGTTTGGGGGGGGGGGGGGTGATAGGAGCAGGGGATTGGATTCTGCTCTGGGTGGGAAGTTAATTATAAAGTCTATCCACAGTTAGACTGATAAAGATATAAATTTACCAAATAAAGTCTTTAAGTAACTTCATTCAAATGAAAATAGTTACACACAAATAGAATGTTTGTGTATATCTAATGTCCATTCACAGTTAATTCATTTGTTTATTTTATTTACTTACATATAATGCCTGTTAGCTGTCTATTGATTTATATTGGGTTTCCACAAGGTTCAATTTCGTATCTACCACTGTTTACTATAGTAACTAATACAAAGTTATTTTGTTATATCTAAGGACAAAATCACGTTCAAGATAGCTATACATAGCGGTTGTGTATTCATCTATTATACAAAACAGGGTATGCTTATTCTGTCCATTCCGTGTATCGGGATTAATTCTTGTACTATTCTCATTTCCCGTAAATATATTCGGATTGGACGATTCTCAGCAATTTATATTATTGATGTTCAACAAAAATGCGGAACTATTAAAATGCGTAGTGACTGGTGTATACCCAGCATTTATGTTATTGTAACTATATATTTGTGTTTCTACAACTATGTTTATTGTCTGCACAGTTTGTTATTGATGTATGCGCATAACTTTGTATTATACAGTAAAGTTTCTTCTTCCTTCTTCTATAGACACCTACTGGATTCCATAATGAATATAAAAGACTATGCCAATAAAGTCTTTTACAAACATTATCTTGTTAAATCTGGAGCCGGTTATATCCAATTGTACTCTTGATATATAACTGATTTGATCTAGTATTGACGGCAATGAAATATCCTAGTCTACCAACATTTCTACGTCAATTTAAATTTATCTGACCTTGTTATTTATTTACTTGTGAATAAACCTAAACGCGACCAACAGGACACGAATTAAATATTTATCAAGGAATACTGCATAGTAATAAATCAACAATTAATATTTCGTTTGTCGGGTGAAAGATTAACATGTACGGCTATACTATAAACCAGGAACAAGTCATTTTGTAATCACGACGCCATATAAAAATCGAAGTACGTTAATCGCTACGCAATTGCCCAAAGAACAAGCATACCAATTTTCGTGTCGATCGTACACTCGAATTGGTGATCACCAAGTGTATGGAAGCAGTTCTTGATTTTAGAATATTATAAAAGCAACCACTGTGATTTAAAAAAATTAGAATCTATCAATGATTCCGGTAGATTTTCGAAAAATATTGAATTGAATTAACTGATTGTCTAAACAAACCGACACTTGTGCAAATGCTTGTGGCTTGTACATAGTTATGCTGTGGCTTACAATATAACGGTGTGTTCGTCCTATGTTGTTTTCTTTATAATTAATTTTGTGTGCGACAGATACAGAACATAAATTTATTTCTTATGGGGATGGCCTTTGGTTTTTAATACATTTAATACATTTAATTTCATTGAAAAGTATATGTTATACATTAGTCAAAATGTACGGAGATCGCTTTGCCTTTTAAAATAATTCAAATATATCTAATATAACTGAATTGCAAATCTATTTGTAATTCTATATCTAATTTTATTATGTTATTATCTAATTATTATTACAAGGAAAAACGATGCAGAGATTCTTATACTTGCTTTCCAAAAATATTCAAAATAACGCGGTTAATCCTCTTAAACCTGATACCAGAAAATATTGTATTACCACTTTAAAGCCGATTGTTTATCAGATAATCAAATTTAGGCGGTAAATATGAAATGAAAATAATCCGTTTTCGTTAAATTTAAGCCAATTATGTCGCTACAACCCGGAAGAAGACGAGATCAAATTTCGGTACCTCTGATGTAGACTAGTAGTTAGATTACGTTAAACACACTTTTGTAATAATAGTGTATGATAGGCTATAAATTATGGTACTTTGTATAGCACGGAAATTATTAAATTACAGAAATCTATGTTTAAATTTCAAATGGCAATATGAACAGCCTGGTGAAACAAACATTCCTAGAGAACATATAGCATTGAATAATATAAAATAAGAAAAATGAACTAAAATATTAAAAAGACGCAGGATAACCACATAACAAAATATTGATAGAAAGAACGGTATAATTGAGACTCTGCAACATTGGGTCCGAAAAATGGAAAAGTTATATTCAAGGAAAAACATCTGAATTCCATATTAAAGCGCTTCATGGCAGTGTTCCTTATTTTCGAAACTATATTTATTATGATAATATACATTCAAGAAATTGTAGATATATTTCATGAAAAAAAAACCAAACATATGCATCGACTTGCGAGAGGGACAAGAGCCCGATATATCACAAGTCTTAAGAGTGATTCTATTTCAAGAAAATTATATTGACATGTATTCGTTTGAATTAATTGATAAGTTTATACATGGATTCAGAAATGGTATATAGGTTGTATTTTGTAACAGGAAATCATGGGTCTTTATAGTCGACCGTAGGGAATCCAGAACTGAAACCAGAAAGACATTACGATTGATGTGATTATTTTCATTGGAAAATATCATTCAAGGGGAAAATGGGAAAGCACGACCCAATCCTCGGCATTTTAATTCAGAAATACTTCCTTGCTTCAATTTCAAAGAATAAAAACACGTTTCAGAAAATATGCGGAACCACGTAAACATATTTATCAGTATACTGTTTCCCTCAATTAAGTTTCGTTGATTATTTTGTATTTTGTTTACAATTAGAAATAATAACTAAATGTGCTCAAACCGAAATGTCCCTTTCGTTATTTACTTTCTGAAAATATTTTTAACAATTGGGTGCTCAACCAAGTGGCTACTTCAATCCTAAAACGAATACTTTCTGAAAACTATCAGAAATACTCTCTGCGGTAACAAGACAGGGTGACTTCTATATAAAAATAATACTAAAGTCTTCCTATCACTAAATGCCTCACATATTATGTTTATGTTATATAATCATCAAAAACGGCTTAAAGGGAAACATCTCTCCCATCTGATCATAAAAAATAGATGTCCTTTAGAAACAAAAACCATTTCAATTTAAATTGTTCATCCACAATATAGACTGCAGGGAATCGTCCAATATAAATAACAGTCATGTAGTTGCAGTTTTCCAGACAAAAAATCTAAAAACTCCATATCGTGTTTTTAGAAACAAAACGTTCGTTTTAAGGACCATGTATTTCCACTTTCTTCACTTAAGACTTAATTCATGAGAGAATATTCCTAATGATAGCCAACCAATGTATCCTCTCTATATATAGACCCAGGTTATTTATACATTATTACAAGTGGATAAAAACATAAACTAAACAAAATACAAATAATAAGTAGCAGATAACACCATGTTCTCAGCAAATCTTAAGAAGCTATCCACTCCTTTTTCCTATTGAAACAAATGATATGAAAGTACTTGTGGATCTACAGTCGTAGTGGAACGAATCGAGTAGCTACAACATTAAGTAAAGTTGTTTTCAGGCTTTTCATTCAATCAAAGTGGATTTACAAGTGTCACGTTAAGATTCTCTCAAACGCTTATTCTTTAAAAACAATTAACTTACCCTCTTTCATAGAGTCATCATCTTCACTGGGAGGAGGTGAAGGGTCCATTACCCCAGATAATGTGTTTTCGAAGTCCTTGGGTACTGGATGTGGTCCTCCTACTCCCAGTCCCGGTAAAGGAGGGGTGTAGGAGAGATTGGTGTACGTTGGCTGTAAATGAGTAGGAGATCCAGCGTTTCCGTAAATACACGATGGATTATTGTTCATGGACATATTCATCTGATCACAGGGTCGATGATTCATGTCAAAGGGAAAATTTGCGGGCATCTGGAAATTCATTGTCTGATAATCAAGTCCACAATTGTTTTGAGCTTCGGTCCAACTTAGAATGTCTTTTACTGAGAAGGGTGTTGATGGCACTGGATTAGAATACATAGCTTTTTTCCTCTCATCCACTTAGTGTCGTGAAGAACTTTCCGTGAGTGAAACACTTTAAATCCCTCTAGACTAAAGAGTAGGCAACTTAGCACCGTAGAAAACATTCAACGCTTGTTCAATTAGACTTCAAATATCTTTCAATCAATCCCGTGATGTTGTCCGCCTCAACCAATCAGATTAGTTCTGGGAGCCTCCATCACACACATCGAGTTCTAAGAGCCCTATTGAATTTGTGTACATACACGATATACATACAGCCTCTAACTGTTCGTGTAGTTATAGTTGTCTGCGATATTACTATCGAAGGAAGCGGATGTTAAACTCCGCTCAGTGACTGTGGCTACAAAATATGAATATTCATTAGACAAACAAACTAATAGAATGTCTTCTTGACTTAGCTCTTCATATTGTCAGCATTAAATGTGTTTAGAAGACTTTCAACTGCTTGCTGAGAGATAATACTGTTAATTCACGCCTTAGAACAGAATCACAGAAACACACTTTAAACGTTCTTGAGTTTCACTATCTACTTTATTATATATTAAGTATATTTTAGATAATGGTACTTAGTTTTTATTACTCACACCTTTTTTATTTAGCGACAACAAAATAAATGTTTCGTCAACACTTTAATTTAATTTTAAAATGAAATCCGATACCAAAATGTTGAGAAGAATTTTTTACTTTTTCAAATTTATTACCATTGCCATAAATTCATAGTTTAAATAGATACAAGTCTATGGAATACAAAATCTACTGTTTATTACTGAGCGATGTTTCGGCTAGGCTTCCCAAGTCTTTATCAAGTAATGATACAACGCAATATGCTGCTCATCTCTGATTAGTCAGCATTAAGTAAGTTGTTGTTGTTTATATATATATATATATATATATATATATATATATATATATATATATAATACCCACCATTGCTTAATAAAGCACAGATTTGTGTCACATGTCTTTCTATTTTAATTACTAGGGAATCGTCTTTAAAAATAAAAAAGGTACCTGTTTTCCGTGGATTAGACAAAGTTCCACTTTTCACAAATAAATTACTAAAGCACTAGTTCAAACTATTCAATTCTTTTTAAAAATATTTTTGTCAATTGCCAAGACATATACATTTTATCAAAATTATGGATATAAATACAGGTAAAAGTAAGCAATTGTATGTTAAAGAGTCAAATATTGTGTACAATAATTATACACATTAAATAATATACATGTCCAGTATCACTGTTCTTTAAAAACAAACAGTAAAAACAAATAATATGATACATCAGATTAACTGCTCCTTCGTCTTCAGATTAACTGCTCCTTCGTCTTAAAAAGTTCAAACGACAATTTCCAAGAGCAGTGTTATTATTAGACGTTATAACTGAAAAACTTTTCTTTTGGAGAAATATTATTTACAACCATTTTCTCTCGGGTATCCGAATAAGGCTTCACAAAATTTAGTGGAAAGAATGCATTTTATTTTCCAAAAATGACAAATACAGGGAATACACGTGATCATTTTGGGGAATGAGGCTTTTACATTCATTGTACACTGATAAATTTCAATATGAATTGAGCAGGGAGGTAAAAACTATATCCGCCATCCTGATTTAAGACAAAAGATCTCAAATTTGTGGTCTTTGACCACGGTGATCCATTCTTTGTGGCAGGGTGATCCCTTTCTTATTAGTGGTGAGCCAGGGAGCACACATGTATTCGTGATTGTTTGTTAAAATATTTAACGAATAGACTAATATCCGCGGGCCACTTTTCTAGACGATAACGATTGCCTTGAAAACGGGAAACTCTCCTAATTTTGGCTTGTACATTGCAATGTCAATATCTTAATATATACACATTATCAATTTATCTGTGTCCCATAAACTATTCAAACTTCCATTTCCATTGTTTATCAACAATAAAAAATATTTTAGTAAATGCGTTTTTGAGAAGAATAAATTCCACTTTTGATTTCTCGAGATGCATCCTTCATCTTTTTTTTATTCTTTACTACACAAAAATTTAAATACTTGGGTCATTTTTACTTCACGTATTTTAAACTTTTAAAGTAGATTTATTCATTACGTCACAAAAACTCTCCCAGAAGCAATAAACGGTGAAAGCATGGTTTTGTTTACCATAAAAACGTTATATATCCCATAAACCTACAGCATTTCATGCCTTGGTTTCACTCCTTACTATAAATATAGGTGTCTTTTATAGAGAGAAATGGATTGCTCTATCATACACAGTTTAGATGAGAATTGTTTTTAAGAAAAGCCAGGAATTAATTGTTCCTTTAGGTAGAAAATTTTGGTATGCAAAGAAAGGCAAAATTTAAACATCAAGCGTCGTCATTGTTGAAATTTTGAAGTCGTTAGAGCGGTAGTGTTTAGATGATTTGCTATTAGCGGGGATTTCTGGGGTATAAATCAGTCTTCTACCCCGCGATGCTCCCGTTTTATCGTTTAGATTACAATAACTAACGACGATCTCTGCCCTTTACAAGTTTGTGTGTGGTATATTCACTATATTCCACTTTATTCTTTGATTCCCATTCCTGCCAATCTAATTAATGGGGAAAACTAAATATTGAGAACCGAAAGGTCGATTTGGAATTGTTGTTGCTAGTTTTTGGTTTGTAAAATTTAATTATAAGTTAGAACTAAGACGTGTCTCGGAATTTTCAACTGAATTTGTTATTAATTTGGTGCTTGTGATTTTAAAATTTCGGATGAAACTATATTCAGAAAAGAGAATTGTTCCAACATTTCATTAGCTAATAGCTTGGTTCATTTTGCTTGTCAGGATACTAGTGTCATCACTTTGTGCATATATTTTATTTTTATTTATTTTCTAGAATAAACGTCAAATATTAACTTCTAAGCCATACACTTATAGATGTCGGCTTACCAAATAGTACACTGGAACAAAAATTATCGATCCTTATGTCAGTTATGGTCTCTAGAGTTCACTTTACTTTCAACTGGTTTTACGTTGGCATCTTAATATAGTTGTCTGTCGACGTCTGAACGATAACTACGTGTATATCAACAATCATCGAGGCCAAGACGGTACCTAACCCAGTTTTCTTTCTTTTACTAAGAATGCCTTTCACCTTTTTGGGGAAGGGGTAGTGAGTTTTGGCGATTAACAAAATTCTTCTTTACACTGCGGGTGAAATTATGATTTAGTAGTACCGGCGGCTAGAAAAACCAAGGTCTCGTGTACACATTGTCAGGTCAAAATATACCTCATACCACACTGTATAGCATATGCTCGTAATCATTAGGCAGGTTGGTAGGACGTTAAACTCCATTCGATTTCTAAGCCTTACATTATTTATTTTTTTCTAAACAATATTTATTCACAGAAACTGGATTGGAGAACAGGCAGAATCCTATAGAACCCCTCTCCATACACTTTATCTGTATTGTGTTCATTCATGTACTCTGCAATGTAGATCATTTTTGCTAGATTATCTATAGATTAGTTGCCACCCTTTGTTATAAGTGTAATTTTAAAGTTTAATGATATTGTAATATTGTTGGATTCCTCTTCCTCAATTAAAATTCTCCGCCTAAATATTTCCTCTAATGACATTTTAAATTTAAGTGAATCGTTAAAAAGAATGATAAAATATTATTTGGCGGGATTATAATGTTTTTTAACACTCTTCCGAAGAATACAATTGGAATGCAAACTAATTCATAAAAAGTCAATTGGAAACTTTGCATTTGAATACATCAATACAATAAACGTTAGTATAGCTATGGGAACTCCTTTATCAATTTAAATGGCTATCTTTAGAAGGAAATATCACTGATTCCCAATTTCTAGTATAGAAGAAAAAGAAGAAGAAACTTTATTGCATAAAAAGCTTACAAGGTTATATGAATAAAAGAATAATATATAAACAAACACACTTACATACATATTAAGATATGGTTACAATAATAGAAAGAATTGGAAGGTCTACATAAAAGCTCCCGAGCATTTTAATATTTCTACATTTTTATTTAGTAAACATATTTTGAATTGTTGGTATAATTTGTCAATTATTGAATTGTTGGTATAAGTCAAGTATTGAATTGTTGCTATATTATTGAATTGTTGGTATATGTCAATAAAATTTCATATTGAATTGTTGGTATATGTCAGTTATTGAATTGTTGCTATATGTCAATTATTGAATTGTTGCTATATGTCAGTTTTTTATACACTTGAAATATTTTAAAATAAATTGAATAATTCCCGAATTGTCAACAAGAACTAATACTCATTTATGTTTATTGTACGGCAAATTCTACTTTATCCGTCAGACGACTCAGATAGTGCCTTCCTATACCAAAGACAAGTTGAGCTGGTTGGAATGTGGTCTCGAGAATTCAGACAAGATAAACTTGTTAATCTATACTACAAACAATGGCACGGTCCCTTCCTTTTAACCACTCTTTAATGTTAATAGATTACACGACTTATATCACTAATAGGACGACCTCACAGATAGAAAGGAACAGGAAGGGGGATATGTCCACATTGATGGCCAAATATGATAAAAGCCCAATATCCTAATATTACATTAACATTAATAAAAGCACACTGGGATTCTACTTATCTAGACAGGATCTGGTCAGTTTGGTATAGGGGTCACAGCCGGATTTAAATCTAAACTTCTCATCTGTTGTGGACTGATTAGATGGCCAGCACTGCTCCACGTCTGTTGCCTAGAACAGTCCCATTCTGCTATTTTAGAAGACTCTATTTTTTGCATCGACAATTGAAATTTAAATATATAGATCGCTTATGCCACGTGATTTACTTGCGTTATTGATATTTTATTGTATAATTTCATCACTTATGAGTTGAAGGGTTGTTTTGTACATGTACTTTTTCGTGCTTTATTTTAACTTATTTTTTTATTGTCAATGTTATTGTAAAGCACCATAGCGCCACAGCGTCTTCAGCAGACTTACTAAAAGTTCATCGCTATAGCAAATGATTGTTAGAATTGTTACAGTTTATATCAAGAAAAGTGTTAATTCCTAATTTTTAAAGAAAAAAAATCAATGTTTCCCTTGCTTTTTCACATTCAACCGTGGCCGATACAATCTGAATCTTTCTAGTTTTTATATTTAACCGTGAAAAATAAAAAGTACAACTTGTTGATAAAAATCATTTTAATTTTTGTTTCTGCTTTAAAGGAGACTTGGAATTGCTGTTTGCTTTATTGAGTGGATAGAATGGTTCCTCATGGA